GGGCCGCAAGGCCCCTGCACCGCTGACTGGAGCCACCAGGGTCCCTTTTCGAGCGGGCGTTCCGGTCAAAAACCAGATGCCTGGCAACCCTAGTCAGGATGTCACTTCACCGCATTGTGGCTGTGTGACTCCAATCGTTGACAAAGTGGCTCTACTGCCCTTTAAGGTCAAGGGTCAATATACTAGACCCCTTCAGAATCCTTAGAGAGGAGATCAGTGTTGGAAAGCTAATTGAAAGAGGTAGGTAATAATGAGAAAGAAGTCTCTTTGTACATGGGGAAAAGGATGCTGTTCAAAATTCAAAAAGTAAACAGGTAATAAAGGGAATTCAGAAGATTTCACAAGTGACTGTCAAATCTGGGGCAGTGAGGGTCAAATCTGAGGCAATATCTTCTCAATTCCTTGCCCCTAAGTATAGGAAGCTATTAAGACTCATCTGAAGTATTATATAGGTGTTCAGGTTGTACAGCTCTTTGCTTGTTATCTGGTAGTTTGCATTCTACAATGTAAGATTCTGGAAGTACAACTCCTAATATCTCTGGATAACATCCTAATAGGACATTATCATAGAACCATAGAATATTAGGGTTGGAAGAGACCTCAGGAGGTCATCTAGTCCAATCCCCTACTCAAAGCAGGACTAACACTAACTAAATCATCCCAGCCAAGGCTTTGTCAAGCCTGGCCTTAAAAACCTGTAAGGATGGAGATTCCACTACATAAGAACAGCCATACTGGGTCAAACCAAAGGTCCATCCAGCGCAGTATCCTGTCTACCGACAGTGGCCAATGCTAGGTGCCCCAGAGGGAGTGAACCTAACAGGTAATGATCATGTGATCTCTCCTGCCATCCATCTCCACCCTCTGACAAACAGAGGCTAGGGACACCATTCCTTACCCATCCTGGCGAATAGCCATTAATGGACTTAACCTCCATGAATTTGTCCAGTTCTCTTTTAAACTCTGTTATAGTCCTAGCCTTCACAACCTCCTCAGGCAAGGAGTTCCACAGGTTGACTCTGCGCTGTGTGAAGAAAAACTTATTTTTATTTGTTTAAACCTGCTGCCCATTAATTTCATTTGGTGGCCCCTCGTTCTTATATTATGGGAACAAATAAATACCTTCCTAGGTAACCCATTCCAGTGCTTCACCACCCTCCTAGTGAAACAGTGTTTCCTAATATCCAACCTAGACCTCCCTCACTGCAACTTGAGACCACTGCTTCTTGTTCTGTCATCTGCCACCACTGAGAACAGTCTAGCTCCATCCTCTTTGGAACCCCCCTTCAGGTAACTGAAGGCTGCTATCAAATCCCCCCTCACTCTTCTCTTCTGCAGACTAAATAACCCCAGTTCCCACAGCCTCTCCTCGTAAGTCATGTGCCCCAGCCCCATAATCATTTTCGTTGCCCTCCGCTGGACTCTCTCCAATTTGTCCACATCCGTTCTGTAGTGGAGGGCCAAAAACTGGACGCAGTACTCCAGGGGTGGCCTCACCAATGCCGAATAGAGGGGAATAATCACTTCCCTTGATCTGCTGGCAATTCTGCTATTAATAAAGCCCAATATGCCATTGGCCTTCTTGGCAACAAGGGCACACTGCTGATTCATATCCAGCTTCTCGTCCACTGAAATCCCCAGGTCCTTTTCTGCACAACTGCTGCTTAGCCAGCCTGTAGCGGTGCATAGGATTCTTCCTTCCTAAGTGCAGAACTCTTATGCACTCAACCTCTCGACCTGAAGACTCTCTTGTCATCCTCCTCTGTAATCTAGAATTTAGTAGTGTTATTAACACCTTAGGAGTCCCTAAAGGTCAAGCCATTTTATTTCAATCAATATGTACTAACACACACAGAACTCTTATAGGATTATAGCTTTATCGCAAGGTATATTTTGGATGAGGGCAGAGAATTCCTAATCATTTTCCAGTTTATTTTCCTCTGTCAGTGTCCCTACCAACTTACTTTTCTTTGCAAATCTAATAAGCTCATAAAGCCTGTGATGCTGAGTGAGCACATGCAGAAAACACAACAATTCACCTCTCAAGGTACAGCAGGGACATGAGAACCAATGTCCTCTAGCTGTTAAAACCAAAACACAGAGTCCTGAGTACCAGATCTCATTCTTCCACTGAAAATCTGCTACCACATTCAGAAAGTTGAAGCCAATTTGAAACTAGATCAGTCACTGAAATAGAGACACAGAAAGGAAGAAGTGATGCAGTTTGAACACCAAACAGAATTTTCAAATATTTGTTTTTTAAAAGCATCAGGAAAAATGAAAAAAGAGATAGGAGAAGGGAAGCATTGTGTGAAATACAAACCAGCATTTTGAATGATTATTTTTTTGTGAAGAAGGGAAACCAATGTCTGAGCTAAACAATTGATAGAAATATGGAAACGCACACTGGGTTTTGACTGAAAAGATTCAAGGATGTTCTCTTGAAAGAAATTCATATAATATTTAAAATTATTTTTCCAATACCTGTTTGTTCTGTAAGAAAGATCAAAGCAATAGGAGGATAAAAATACCATAAATCCATTGCATATCAGCATAGGTATGAAGCTAATTGCATTATCACTGTCACCATATACAACCAGAGGAATTTCATTGTGCTCATTTCAAATCCCTCTCATAATGCCATTCTAAAAATAAAAACCCTCTGAATAAATTATTTCAGTAAATTTGAAGGTTTTACTGAGCTTAAAATTCTAATGTAATCTCCCAAATTGCTACAGAATTTACCAGCTTTTATTTATCAGATTCCCCCACCCCCCGTTCTTAATATTTCTACCTTAGCCACAGACAGTCACTTCCTATAAGTGTATGTGGTATATTTTAGAATGAGTATGGTGCAATGTCAGTAATCCTGATCCTTCAAGATTACAATTACATCCAGCGAGGTGCTGAGCCAGCTGAGCTCCTACGGAAGTCAATGGGAGTTCAGGGTTCTAGGCAATGTCACAGCCTGAATGATTAAATCATATGTATCCACCCAGAATAGATAAGACTTTCAGGAAGTCTTGCATTTGAAAATGAAAGAACACAGAGGCCTTGAACCTGATGTATAATACGTTAAGAATAGCGAATAAAGAAAACAGCAATATTCAGCTAAACAACCTACCAACCAGAATGCTGAATCCTGTCAAACCAGTATCAATAGCGAAATGTTTTGAAATAGTTTTTAACTATAATTGGCATTTTTGAAACTGTTAGTGTCACAGTTAGTCAACACTAAAAACTCCTCTTCTTCCGATTGTTAAAATAATATTACAACAGGCAGGAATTGTTTTACAGTCAGATGGCCTTGGGTTTATCCTCTCTTGGGTGTGCATGTTCATAAACACAGATGATGTCATTTGTCTGGAAGACAGCCTTTACCAGTGTCATGATGCCTTGTGTGATATGGAGTGGAGTGGTAAATAAGTCCTCTATACTCTGGGTGCGACACACAGTGTTTTTTATAAGGAGGAGAGGAAAATAAAACAGTAAATAGAGCAACAATTATACACAAAATATTCTCAAACATAAAATGGCTTTTGGATAAGCTAAAGAAAGCAGCCTAGAGTGTTCCTAACCCTTTCAGCATTAGTCCCATCTATAAGATGAACTGTCCTTTGGTTTGGATAATTACCCAAAATAAAACAAACTCCGAGGGTGAAATCCTGATTCTATTGAAGTAAATTGTATTTTTGCTATTGACTTCATTGGGACCAGGATTTCAGCCCTAACGCAGACAGTAACCACAAACATTAGGTTTTAAACAAGAGAAAGGGAACAAGAAAAGAAAGAACAGCTTCAGGGTGGCTACTCTTGGAACCTATGCTGCACCATGTTAGTCTTGTTATTACTCAAAATTAAAAAGGAAAGTAGCAGGAGCATAGGGAAGAGTAAGGGTAGAACACCTTTATTCCTCGGAGTGCTTTGGGGCATGAGGTATTTCAGGTTTTCCTGTGACAACCAGTAATAGGCTCAGAAATTTTATTTGCAAGTAAAAATGTTGTTTCATATGTTGCCTATTTTACAGTAGATGTGGTTGTGCCCCAATTTGTGAATGAAAACTAATGTATTTAGTATCACATATTAGAAAACTAATGTATTTAAGACCTTCTCCCCCCTCCCCACATCCATAGTGGAAAAGTCTTACAGGACTTAATGGAGGAAACAAATAGGGTTCTTTAGTTGAAATTCTATTGATATTAATTTTAAAATGTGTAGAATTTAATAGAGGTTTATATCTCTGCTGTAGAATTCTATAGATTGTCTTAAAATTTAATAAAAAGATTGTTGTTATTCTTTATTAAATTCTGTAGGACTTTTCCATAAGGGACCTTTTTAACTCCAGATCAGGATAGTTGGGTTGCTCTATAACCTACATAAAAATAAAATAGAGAAAAAAGGATCTCCTTGTTAATATTTACTATTACAACTCTGGGTCTATCAGGGTGTCAGAAAGCCTTTTGGATATGGACATAGGAGAACTATATTTCAAGATTAGTTACCAGTCTTACCTGCTTTTCCCGTACCAGCTCAGAATGTTTTATGGGTTGAGTACTAATCTTCAAGAAAGCACTAATTTAAGATTTCTATGATCTCTTCATGAGCTAGTATTTTTTAAGCTCTAGAAGATATCTGAGGAAATCTGATTTGAAAGACTAACTCTTGATTTGGTCTCATTTCACTTGGCAAAGCACAGCCAATAAGAAATCATTTGATGAAGAGACATTGTAGTGGCAGATTCCTACTGTCCTTTGTTAGACTAGTATGGTTGTAACTATGGCAACATCTTTTCTCCAGACCAAAGTTCAATTATTTTACAACTTTATTACCACTGCTGTTAGTTCAAAGTTTACTGGCATAATTTTCTACCAGTACAAAACTAGGTCTACAGTCTCTAACAGCAGGGAACAGTCTCTTTCAGCTTGGAGCTCTCATTAACAAGACTAAGGAAACAAGAAAAGTATAACCTGCACTACAAGAAAACACATCTCTCTGATAAAATGCCATCCAGAAAAAAAACACAAATGTTTGCATCTGCCTGTTTTACTAGTATTTGGTCTTTTGTGATAGTCTGCCTTGTTCTTGCAAACAAAAACTGGGTCTCGAGTAATGTTAACTTTACTGAAGGAAATTCAAGTGCTATTATAACCGTCACATATGGGGTTTTTGAAGGTGTGTGTTCAAAGAAGGTGATTGGTGGACTTGAAACGCCAGCAAAAAATTTCCAAGGTAACTACTATAGTGAATATAAATGGATACTATTATGTTGTCTTACCTTGATACATTTCATTTTAGCAGAGCAGTTCATGTCTTTTATTTGTTTATACATATAATATTTTTATTGAAGACAAGAGTATTTACATACTAACATTATGGGATTTAGGAGAGTTGTAAAAATAAGAGAACAAAAATAGTACAGCATATAATAGCAGCAACACATTTGCAAACAGAAAGCCTTTCACATTATCCAGGATCTTGTTAGTTCATAGCTTTGTCTGTGGGAAGTATCAAGGTAAAAGGGAAACAGTTGTATTAAAAACAGCAAGTCTAAGTTTCATTCAAAAGCTTTCAGTCAATAGCAGAAAAGTAGTTACTGCTCATTTTATTATCGTTTTTATTACAAATTATTTCAAACCTAAAAGATAATACAGTTGCTGCTGATTAGGAATGACATATTGTCTTTGTATTTATTGTGGTTTATATAATGATTACCTATCCTAGCCTCTAGGTTTTTTCTTTTTTTTCTCCAGATTATTAAGGTGAAATTCATGGTTTGCTATTTCAAAAAATTTATATAGAAAGTTTGTTACCTGCTCACCTCCCAATCACACCCTGTGTGATTACTGACAGGGAAAAATCTAGAGCACTGGATATATACATACTAAATAAGTCTTGATAAATGAATACAAAAACTAAAGAAAGAAAAATGCCTGGAATAGACAATTATGTTTTACATATTGTTTTTACATAAAACATGAAATACATACAGTGCTCTGACCAAAATGCTAGGTTTAAAATAGTAATTTTATTCTAAAACATGATTGTCACAAGTTTTATGTTAAATTGTTTAAATATTTTACAGCCTATCAATGCCAATACAAATATTTTGGCAAAATTTGTATAAAATGATTGTCATTTTAGTTAGGTATTGCGGGGGAAAATATTATTAATGGATAATATTCACTTGTAACCTTTTCTTTTAAGGCTCCTTCCTTTTAACATGTAAATAATGGAGTCAGTCAGTTCAACATATAAAGTAGTATTTTTAAAATGTTTGCATGTTACTGTAGCTATCTAATACTAGCAATTCCTTTTTGACTAACATCACACTATGGAATGTACCTGCCAATGTGAGCTTGACATAGACCTTTTATGGTGATGTTTCTCCATGAGACTACCAAAGGGTGCCTTTAAACATTCCACTTTGATAAACTATGACATGAGATTTCCAAAACAACTCAGGGAATTAGAATAAGTTGTGTTTTTCCACTCAGACCCATCTTAGACTTTACCACATCTAAAAATGTCCAATAGATGGATCACAGCTGAACTCTACACTTATATACGAGTCTGATTTTTCTGTATCTTCAGTTCTTCATATTTATTCTCACTAGTAAATGTACCATAGGACAGAAGGAGGACAGGCAAAAAACAGAAGAGAAAGCAGAAAAAGTGAGAGGTATCAAAAAAATCTAAAAAGGAGAGAGAAAATACAGATAGGCTTGGTAGAATTCAATTTTTATATTGTTATAATTTTGTTGGATAATTTGGATGTTTATTTTTAAGAATATTTTCAATTTTTGTCCATTATGTTTTCACAGTTGTGGAAAATTATTGGGGGTGTCAGACAATTATTTAATTACAGTAGATGTTAAAATTCAAAAAGTTAAAGCTTTATACTGTTTGAACACATATTGTCGACATCACATGTCCAAATATACAAAGTAAATACCCTTAAATCAACCTCTAGCAAGTTCCTAACCAGTATTTTTCTTACTTTGCCTATATATATATATATATATATATATATTTCAGTTATTATCGGTGGAAATATTTTTTCATCGGTTTGTGTATGTTTGGTGAAATTGATGATTACTAAATTTACTGATAAAAATCTCATCCTTCCAAGCCTAGATATAGACAAGAAGAGGGGAAAATGAGGAAAGAGAGAGGGAAAAACAATGAAGGATGAAGTTTTACCTAGGGGAGCCTTGAAGAAAGATGCTATAAATATAAGACAAGCAAATATTAGAAAATATATATTAGAAAAAGCAAAGTGTACATAGTAAAATGGTGCAGCATAAATAAGAGTAATAAATAAGATCTGTGTTAGGCACCAATTCTGCTTAGGCTTACACACTTAACTTTATGCACTGTGAGTAGTTCTATTGACATCAGTGGAAGCACTCTGCACAAAAGGTAGGCACGTACGTAAATGTTTGCAAGGATCAGGGCCTTACATTAGATTTTACACCAATGTTACTCCATTGACTTCAAATGAACTATTCTGATGTACTCCTTTGAATGAGAGAAGAGAAGCAGGCCACAAAACCTATTAACAAAGTCGGGGAAGAATGGTTTAAAATAATTAGCAGACAAGATATATATTTTATAGATTATTTTATATATCATACTTTTGACAAAGACTATGATGCCACAAACAAATCAACAGAACAAAACTGACCCAGACAGGACCCCATCCTAGGTCTAGGAAATAATGATCAGGATAATTTATTTTTACACACCTAACATATTATTTTCTGAGTTTAGTAAGGAGACTCTACCCATACCCAATGACAACACATTACCAAGACCACGACAGTATGTAACATTGACAAGAGACTTTCTATATGGTGTAACTGCACTGAAGTCACCTTTGGCTGAGTATGATAACAGCATATTATCAAAATTATGAGGATGGCAAAGTTATTTCAATGCAAGTTATAAGGACCACGTTACAATGAAGAAAAAAAACCAGTTGAGAGTGTTAGTAGAATATCTTAAAAAAATTTTAAATGAAAATAGTGACACAGTTTGGAATCAGTTGATTAAAACAATTTCAATTAGAACAAAGGTTTTGGAGACAGATCAGCCCTATATTTATCTAGTTAAAATATTATTTTAATTTCAAATTTTGTATATAAAAGAGTGGTTTACATTTGACTGTATCCCTCTCACACCGACTGATGTAGGTCCTCATCCTAGCTCCATGCAGACGGACCTTCATTGACTTCAGTGGGACTCCATGTGAGCACAGCAGCCTACCCATACAGAGCTCATTGCAGAATCAGGGCCTTAGATTGGAAGCAGTCTTTGTGTTTTTACAGCAGCTAGCACAATGGAGCCTCAGTTCTGATGATGGCCTCTGGGTGCTATTATAAAATGAAAATCGGTCACAGAATTCTTGTTTTCGTAGGGCAAGCAGGATTTGACCCTTCACGTTAGAGAAAGAGAGAGATTTGCGACCCTGTTTTGTTCTTCTCTAATTAAACTAGAAGTGAGATTTAAAATATGACATTACTAAATGATTAGCTTACCACAATAGTTATTCATATTTATTGAAAAATAAGAATGCCTGAGATATTAAAATTTGAAAAGACCCAGAGTTTATTCTGGCCATGAAAGCTACTTTAAGCAACATTTTTATTATATAAATAAAGATATGTTTAAAGACTAGACTAGTCTAAATATAATTTTCTTTCAGTTAAAAAGTCCCTCAAATAAATTCCTCTAGGAATAAAGTCAGTGTAGAGCGCACTTGTTGTAAAGTAATTCTTAGGGTCTGTATTGTATATTATTATTTATTTGTTAAAGTTTATTGTATATGATTCTACAAATTTTCAAACACATACACTTCTGTGAAAGATTATTTTCTTCATTTTTTAACTTCATCTGTTAAAATGGTTAGCAAAAAAGTTAGGCCACAAAAGTCAGAACATTTCAATACAGTACAGTGTCCTCCATCCAAGGGTCTTGAGGAATAGTCATACCTTTAGGTTAATGGGATAGCGAATGATGAAGAGAGCTCTTTTGCCATTTTAGCCAAGACTGCATTCCATGCCCCCCTCCCCATCAGTGAAAAGGAAGAGGCTCTTAAAAGGCTACGTTTATGTGAGAAAATAGAATTGACAGTACAAGTAATGCACCTTTAATTGAAAAAAAAAAAAGTAACCTCAAGAGCAGGGATATCTTTTATTGAACCAACTTCTCTTGGTGGAAGGGATGAATTTTTGAGCATGACAAAGCTCTTCTTCAGGTCTGGGGAAGATAATCAGAGTGTCTGAGCTAAATACAAGTTGGGACAGATTGTTAAGCATAAGGGTCTCCACATGCTATAGGAGACCACTTAAAATGAAGTGAGCAATTAAGGCTTAGTAGGCAGTCAGGGGTGTTACAAATTGTAATAAGCCATAAAACCATTGTCTGTATTAAGTCCATGGTTTTTAGCATCTAACAGAGTTATGAATTTCAGTTCCCAGGCTCATTTCTTGAAGGTGTTGTGCAGGTTTCCTTTGAGAATGAGGACTGAGAGGTTACATATGGAGTGATCACTTTGTGTAAATTGTTCACGCATGGGTGATTTTTTTGGTCTTATTTTATTGTTAGTTCATTTGAGAGTATAACAATTGTCTGGTTTCACCCACACCACATAGTTGTTGGTGCATTTGGTGCGCTGGATGAGGTACACCACGTGTGATAGGCATGTGTAGAACCCATGGATTTTGAAAGGTGTGTTGCAGGGGGAGAGAGAAGAATACTGATGATTGTAGCAGTGGAGATATGTCTGCAAGTTTTGCATGTGTTGTTCTGGCAAGTTCTGGTGCCACTTTGAGATCTATGGAGAGATTTCTTCTAATGATAAAGAGCTTGGTGAGATTGTGGTGGTGTTTGAAGGCAAGAAGAGATGGTTTGGGAAAGATTTTCTTTCAAGATGTGGTCCCCATCAAGTATGGATTGTAATTGCTTGATTATATCCCATATTGGTTCCAGTGTAGGGTGGCAGGTGAAGTTGTGGTGAAAAATCTATGAGGGAAGCTAGGTTGTCTGTCCAGAGGAAAAAAATATCATTAATGTATCTCAGTGTAACGGCGCCCTCCTGGTTCCTCCACAAAACTCAGTCGGAGACCACTCAAAGTGTATGCACCAGTGCTCTTTTATTCTTGTGCCAGTTCCCACCACCTGCTATGTACACTTTATACACTGTCTTCAGGTCAACACCCTGGGAGACCGCTAGCTTCCCCAGCTAGCAGGGATCTACAGCCACACGCTCCTCCCCTTCCTGTGTCCCCCCTTGCCAGCTTTATATGGCCGGCTGGCTGATTAGGCCCACAGGTGCCGATGCTCAAGTAATCAGGGTGTAGTTTCCGCTGCCAGCCCCAACTAATCCCCTTAATTGGAGAGGGGCTAACAGGGACCTGGCCAGGCTCTCCTGGCCAGCACCCCATTACACTCAGGTATATAGTTGATTTCATAGTATATTTTTTCAGAAATTCTTCCTCAAGGTGATCCAGGAAGAGACATTGGCATATTGAGGAGCCATCCTACTATCCAGGGCTGTTCCCATGTTTTGGACAAAGTATTTATTGTTAAATGTGAAGTTGTTATGGGTGACGATGAAATGGATGAGTTCGACAATGCGGTGGATTTCTGAATGTTGTAAATTATCTTGTAGGTATTTGAGGCAGGCAGTGATTCCATCATGGTGAGGGATGTTGGTATATAAGAAGGTGACATCCATGGAGGCAAGGGTGGAGTTCTGGGAGAGGTTGTTAATGTTGCAGAGTTTCTGGAGGAAGTCAGTACTATCTCAAAGGAGGCTGGCTCTTTGGGTGGTGAGTGGTTTGAGGATGAAGGAAGGTGCACACTGGAAAATATAATCCCAATTATGTGTACAAAACAATGAGGTCTAAATTAGTTATTACTACCCAAGAAAGAGATCTTGAAGTCGTTGTGGATAGTTCTCTGAAAACATCTGCTCAATGTACAGCCATAGTCAAAAAAGCTAACAATGTTAAGAACCACTATGAAAGGGGTAGATAATAAGACAAAAAGATTATAAAGCCACTATGTAAATTCATCAGGAATACTGAATGCAGTGCTGGTCACTCCATCTGAAAAGAGATACATTAGAAATGTACAAGTTACAGAGAAGTGTAACAAAAATGATTAAGGGTATAGAACAGCTTTCATATGAGGAGAGATTAAAAAGACAGACTATTCAGTGTGAAAAAGAGAAAACGAAGGGTGGGGGGGATATGATAGAAGTCTATGAAATCATGAATGGTGCGGAGACAGTGAATAAGGAAGTATTATTGACCCCTTCATATAACACAAGAACCAGGGGTCACCCAATGAAATCAACAGGCAGTAGGTTTAAACAAACAAAAGGAAGTACTTCTTCACACAATGAACAGTCAACCTGTGGAACTCGTTGCCAGGGGATGTTGTGAAGGCCAAAATTATAAATGGATCTAAAAAAGACTTAGTAAATTCATGGAGAATAGGTCTATCAATGGCTATTAGCCAAAATGGTCAGGGGTGCAACCCCATGCTCTAGTGTCCCTAGATCTCTGACTGCCAGTTGCTGGGACTGGACAACAAGAGATGGATCACTTGATGATTGCCCTATTCTGTTCATTCCCTTTGAACCATCTGGCATCAGCCACTGTTGGAAGAAAGGATACTGGGCTATATGGGCATTTGGTCTGACCCTGTATGGCAATTCTTATGTTCTCATGATTTCTATGAGTCCTGATACTCCTTTGGTAAGAGTGGTGTAGCCAGATGTGATGGGTCTGCCTTGGTTCCCTTGTTTGTGAATCTTGGGAAGCATGTAGAAGTTCCCTGGGATGGGTTCAGGAGGATGAGGTTGTAGACTTTTTCTTGGAGTTGTTTGGGGAAGGATTTGATGGTATCTTTAAATTCCTGTGTGGGGATTTTCTTTGAATTCTTTATAGTAGGTGGTGTCAGAGTTGTCAGTTGGCCTCGTTGATGTAGTCACCATGATTAAGGACTGCAATGGCTCCCCCTTTGCCTGATGGTTTGAGCATTATCTGGTTGGTTGGATTTTGAGGACTGTAGAGAGATTCTGGTGGATGAAATATTTGTTGGTGGTTTCACTGGTTTTTTTTCCTGAAGCAATTGGGGTAATGAGTCATTGTGTGGTTTTGTCCACTGGGAGGTGTCCAGTCAGATGATTCTTTTTTCATATGACTGTAGTTGGAGATGTGATTCGTGTCACCTCTGTTGTGAAAGAATTCCTTGAGGCAGAGTTGGCAGAAGAATTCTTCTAGTTCTCCACATGCTCAAATTCTGTGGTGGGGCAGAAGTTCAGTCCCTTGGAGAGCACAGATACTTCACTTCCGATAGGTTGATGATGTTTGGTGTCATGTAGTGTCCATATGCTGGTCCATATGATGGTCTGCTGGTTGAGGGTTTGTAGTTGGTTCCACTTTTTGTCTGTGTGTTGAATGACAGTCATCAGGGGTTTTATTTGATAGTTTTGGGTTTCCTCCATGATCTCCAGGTAGGTTTACTGATTTTTTTCTTTCAGCGTGTGGGAGCATGTAATGATTACTTGTTTGAGATGGTCCCTTGTGGAGTATATAAGGTGCAGGAGATGGTTCCTCAGTTTTTCTAAGGTCCTTTTGCAGAGCAGGTCAGCATATTTGGGGAAATAGATGATGTTGTTCAGCTTGGCTTCCTGCTTCTTCATGTTGTGAAGTTTTTATTTTAGATGGCAGAATTTGATATCTTCCATAGTTGTTTGCATTGTTGTTGTAGCTGAATTTGCATGGTGGTTGTGTTGAATTTCCAGCAACCATTTAAAATTTTTCCAAGCAAAGATTCCAACAACTTAAAATGAATGACACGTTAATTATGTGCGTCTTTATATTATGAGACTAGCAATTTGTTTCACAGCAATTTAGAAACTAAAAGGATTTTAAAATGCACAAACTATTTGTCATCATTTAGCTACCAGGTAAAAGTGGAAATATGTCTAGCTTCAGAATCCTGAAAGATCGTATTTTTTCAAAGTATAAAAAGGATGGTAATACAAACATGTACACAAAAAAAATGTGAAGGGAGAGGTATGCTTTTTCTTCAATAAGTTTTATAGAACATCTATTAGGAAGAGGTATGAACATACTTTTAAATATACAGCACATGCTCTCACTAATAGCAAGCATCTCGTGCACTATGGATCTCTATGACATATTCTGCGCTGGTTTCTTTTGCGGAACTCCCATTGATCTCAATGCATGGTGTGTGTGAGAAATGGAACGGGAAACGTGCTATAAAGATCTGCAGAGTGAATTAGAAAGGAGAATTTTGCCCTTGTAAGACTGTTCTTGGGATCTAAGGAATTTGCTGGCAACAGCACTGTTATTGTTTTTAAAGGGTTAGTTAATTAGTAGCCTTACAAACAGACTAACAAAGACCTTTACAATGACAGACCTCCCAATTTATTTATTTACTCCACTGAAAGATGTAAAACAGAAAATCCAATATATTTTGGCAGTTAACAGTACAGAACACAAAAAACTTGACTAAGATAACAGCAGCCTACTAACAAGCTGTTAATGATTTATATTGGGTAATTCAAGTACTTTATACTTTCATGAGCTGGGCAGAATGATCTGGCAAAAATTCAGAAGCTGTTAGTCACCTCAGAACATTTGTGTACCTACCAAAGTATAAGCAGAGTTTATGTTTTGATTATTTACCTATGGCGGGGACATCAGAACAGTTCTATTCAGCTAATACCGGGTGGGAAGTATTTTGTCAGTGGATTGGCTTGTTTTCAATCTGAAAGCAAACTTGGGCCATTTTTAGGGCCATTTTTTGTGTGGAGAAGTTGAAGGGTGGGGTGTGCATACATGCCAGTCTTGAACTAACTTTACTAAGAAACAGGAAGTGACATCATTAGAGGAAGTTTTATTGTTTTTTCAGTACCTTACACAAACTCTTGACAAACACTTGAAAAGTACTGATGCTAGAATTCACTTAATAGATCATCAATTTTCATGCAGACAGATGTTCTGTGATGCCTCATGGGGATGTATCAAGTTGGGTTGGATTATATTGTACTTTTAAAAAAATTATAGTATGTAATGTACATTTTTAAATGGATGTAGAACTTGTGAAAGGTGTCAAACTGGTAGCACTGGAGATTGAAGACACCAAAGGGCAGTAGCCTAAACTTGTTCCCACTGAAGTCAATGAGAGTTTGAGCATTTAATAGGGTCCTAGAGACAATACATTGTCACAGTCCTAATATAGTCCAAAAGCTGACCTATCCTGTAGTGAAACCTATTTTAAAAGAAACACAGTGGAGGCCTGATTACTGTTATGATTTCTCTAGTTATAGATAGTAAACTCAATACTCTACAGTAATCTGTTGTATCCCAAGAAGGGGTGGAAATGAGTTTTTTCTGTGGATGCTGACTGGCACAGTTCCTGTTAGAACAATCATTCAAATGTGGCTGGGGTTTTGTTGTTATACTAATTATGTATAAAGGCACCTAGAGCCTTGTATAGGTGTTTTTTTAATATTATTTAAATCAAAATAAGTAAATAAATAAAATATCCAGGTTAGGGTTAACCTACGTCTGGTTTTTCCCAGACATGTCCGGCTTTTTGGTAATCAAACCCCTGTCCAGGGGGAATTTCCAAAAAGCCGAACATGTCCAGGAAAAATACTCCCAGCTTTGCCGGCATCCCTGGCTTACCTTAGAGTGGGCTCCGGCGACTGCTGCTGCTCCTTGACTCCTCAGCTCTGTAAGAGCCGAGCTGCCCGAGCACTACTGGCTTCACAGTTTGCCGGGCAGCCCCCAGACCTCCAAACCCTGCGCCCCTGGCCGGGCGCTT